AATGAGGAAAAAAGAAAACACTATTCTGACCTCTTGGTCTTAAAATCCAGTTTGAATCAGGTGAGAGACGGCTTAACTGATATCTATAAGCTGGTGTCTGATGTTGTCTCAAGCGACTTAGAACTTTTGAGAGATTTGGAGGCTAACATGGTCTCATGTGTGAAATGGAGTGATGCTGGAGAAGTTGCTAGTTTATCATTCTATAATGCATCTGGTGGCATTACATCCAGCAATTTACAAAACAAGGTAAGGTAGCTACTTTATTTCCAATTGCAATTGACCTTACCATATCTGTTGTATTTTGGTGTGCCTTTTTTCATGTGACCTCACTAGTTTGCCTCTATTCTATTTCTCTTTAATTTGTTTTTACAACAGAGTGCCTCTGGTCATTTCTTGTGTGTGTTCCTGACATATATATCTGAAGTTCTCTCACAAGCGGCAGACAAGACTTTGAAATATCATTCTTATTTATTTGCATTTTGATATCGAACACAAACCTGATTTGATATCAAGCAGTTATTATCTGTGAATAGCCTGTTATTATCAAATATTGATTTGTTGATTGCTTGTGGTAAATATCACAATTATGCTTCTAATTGGAGTTATCTGTTCAGGAGAGCTTTCGGTCTGTGGATTCTTGGTCAAATGCCAATCTACCAGACCATTTTGATGCCAATTTTACAGTTGATGCTGGTGGCTTTGTTGCACATCACCTGCAAGAATTCATGAATGAAATCATTGCACTCAAAGAAAAGTTGAACAGGCACTTGAAATCATTACATGAACAAACTAGTAGTCTATCAAGCACAATGGGGGTCCTACAGAGAGAAAGTGCTTCTCAGAAAGAGTCATTTGAAGCTTTAAGGAGAGACATTGTGCGATTAGAATCGATTGGAGGAGAAAAGGACATGAAAATTGGTGCACTGAGTAGAAATATTGCCCTGCTGAATGAGGCCTGTGCTAACTCAATTATTGAAATTGAGAATAGGAAAGCCGAGCTGTTAGGAAAGAACTTTTCTGCTGCAGATATGGGAAGCTTGAAATCTGTAACAGATACTGATCTTGGGCTTCCTTTCACCAGGCAGATTGATTTTTCCTCTGAGGAATTTGTGAAGACCATGGCAGACAGAGTATCATTAGCTGTAAAAGAGTTTGCTACTGTGAAAGCTGATTTTGCTGAGAGTGCCCTAAAGGAAATGAAAATGTCTGTAGCAAACTTGCAAAAAGAGCTTCAGGAGAAGGACATTCAAAAAGACAGGATTTGCATTGAGCTTGTTGCTCAAATCAAGGAAGCTGAATCTGCTGCAGCGAGTTACTCACAGGATCTTCAGTCCTCAAAAACCTTGGTGCATGATTTGCAGAAACAAGTGGAACATATGCAGGAGGAACAGGATTTGTTGGAACAGAGAGTAAAAGAGCTGCATGATGTGCAAGCTATCTCAATGGAGCTGCAGAACAGGGTTGGATCATTGACAGATAAACTATCAGCCAAAGACCAAGGTAGGTTCAAAATTGTTTGAATTCTGCTCTATGTTTGCTATTATTCTTTTATAATTATAATCTGTATTTATGAGTGATATTTGGTGACAGAAATTGAGGCTCTAATGCAAGCACTTGATGAAGAAGAGGTTCAGATGGAAGAGTTGACAAGAAAGATTGAGGGACTAGAAGAAAATCTGCAGAAAAAGAATGTAGATTTGGAGAATCTTGAAGCTTCTCGTGCCAAGGTGGTGAAAAAGCTTGCTGTCACAGTGAGGAAGTTTGATGAGCTCCACAATCTCTCTGAAAGTCTTCTCTCAGAGATTGAAAAGCTCCAGTCACAACTTCAAGATCGGGATGCTGAGATCTCATTTTTAAGAAATGAAGTCACAAGATGCACCAATGATGTTCTTTCTGCATCACAGACAAACAGTAAGAGAGACTCAGAGGAGATTTATGAATTTTTTACTTGGTTTGATGCAGTGGTTTCTCGGGTTGAGGTTCCTGATCTGCATGTTGATGATAAGAACAGCAATCAGGTCTATGAATACAAGTTTGTTTTTCAGAAGAGGATTAATTCTATTATATCAGAACTGGAGGACCTACGAGTGGTGGCTCAAAGCAGGGATGCTTTGCTCCAAGCAGAAAGGAGTAAAGTAGAGGAGTTAATACGCAGGGAAGAAACTCTTCAGAGAACCTTACATGAGAAGGAATCCCAATTAAACATGCTTGAAAATGTGGGAGATTCAGCCCGAGCAACTGGTTTCAACTCTGAAATTGTTGAAGTTGAACCTGTGGTGAGTCATTTGATGTGTTTTCAGGTTCACCATGTGCCCTTCAGCTAGAACTAGCAAAACTAGTTTGATTCGGGATTTTTCTCCTTATTTAATAAGAAAATAAATTCTAGTTGCAGAACAAGCAATTTTATCTTATGACCTTAAGCACTCTGTTCCATTGACTTCTGTGTAGGTAAACAAATGGGCAGTTGCTGGCACATCCACTGCATCTCAAGTTCGCAGTTTGCGTAAGGTGAATAATGATCAAGTGGCTATTGCTATAGATATGGATCCGGGTGGTAGTAATAGGTTAGAAGATGAAGATGATGATAAAGGTAATCTATACTGTTATATATTTTAGTTTTAGGTTTTTCAGCCTAAAGTGTAAATCATTTATATTTTGAATCTACATTACATCATTCCTAATTTCATTTTCTCCTCATCAGTTCATGGTTTCAAGTCACTTACTACATCAAGAATTATTCCAAAATTTACCAGGCCTGTAACTGACATGGTTGATGGCTTATGGTAGGTGTTATTTATTTCCTTTTTCATTTTATGTTGATTTTGAAGTAGTCTGGATTTTTATACTGGGTTAAAGATGATCTCCAGCAATATAGCCTCCTGATAAACCATGTATTGTTGATCTGTCAGGGTTTCTTGTGATCGAGCACTAATGCGACAACCTGCCTTACGTCTGGGTATTATAATGTATTGGGCTGTATTACATGCACTATTGGCGGCTTTTGTATTCTAATGAGATAGTCAGGTTAGTGGACTCTTCCTCCAGTATAGATCACAATATCTTCAGCATTGTGCTTATTGAAATTTTTTGATCTGTAACCTTGGGAATCTCCGGCCTAAAAAACACCTTGAGATTCTGTTTTGTTTCAAGATTTTGCACAGCATTTTTAAAGCACTGTAGAGAGGATAATCATTTGTTCACATAAATCTTAGAAAAATATGAGCATAGAAGAAGAGGAGAAATTCAGAGAACCGAGGAAACCAGTTTTGAGAATTTTCATTATTATTAGAGTGCATATGTTTTCTAGTCCTATCTTCCTTCCAGTCTGTATTCGTTTGTCATGCTTATCTAACATGTTAAAATAATTGGACCATCATTTCTTCGCCTGTAATAAAATGATAGATGAGCTGTCATCTGGCATAGAGAAAATCGTGCTTTCTCGTGCTTGAGTTCATGGCCCACCTGATCTGCAGGTTCTCCACTTGGTTGGAAGCGAAAGATTAGTACGGACTCTCAAACCATGTTCATATCCTCAAACGGACATTTCTGTGGGTAATGAATTCAAATTTTTTTTTTTCGCTAAATCTCGCTCGTTGATTGATTATTTTTGCTTCTTGAGGCAATTGAGGTTTGCCATTTTTATAAATCAGGGTTTGTAGAAGTTGAAGAAAGGGAAGAGGAAAAGAAAGGGAAGAGGAAAAAGAAAGGGAAAGAAGAAAGAGAGGAACGAAAAAGAAAAAAAAAACAAAAAGAGGGCGGAGAAAAGGGATTTTTTTTTGGGTTGGGATGAGTTTGAGTGGTCATATTATCTATTTTTGTCAATCTGTCAATTTTTGTGTGACACGTAATGCTTCTTCTGTCTTCTTCCGTTAATTAACATGAAAAAATTAACGAAAGGATCTGTTGGGATTAGGCCCAACACCCTCTTAGGGCCACATGCAACAGGCCAACTACGCACCCACAGGCCCAAGAGGAGGAGACATACCCACGTGGGCAGCATCACGTGGGTCAATGAGAGGCTTACATGTGCAGATACATGTCAGCACTTGGGGCTATAAATACCCCCCAACCACCTCCGAAGAAGGTAATTAATCTCGACGCTTCTCTCTCTGCAACTACTCCTGGAGAGCATCTCTCTCTAGAATATTGAGTATTGCTGACTTGAGCGTCGGAGTGTTTTCCCCGAGGAAACAACCTCGGGATTTTCAAGTGTGGAAGCAGCTAAGGACTTCAACAGTGTTGGATTGTGAAGCTGCCCAAACATTTGGCGCCGTCTGTGGGAACCGAACAAGAAGTCGTGTGACTTAACCTGCTGAAAGACAACATGGTCCGTACTTTTACAGGAGGTCGCCCTCCAAGAGATGGGATGGACGAACAGGAGGACGCCCAAGCATCTGAGCCCGGCTTAAATGATTTTAGACCAATGCCCAGAAACCTTTTTGTGGGGGGTGCAGAACAGGGTCACCTAAGCGAAACAAATGATGATGAAAGAACACCAACTGGGTATGCAACCCAGCCTGAACAGTTCCAAGTTCCAACAGGAACAAGACAAAGACCTTCTAGACCGTACAATTCACAACGTGAACGACCTGAAAGGTCAACAGAACCTGCTCGGACAACCGAGCTCGAAGAGAGAACCAGAGTTCTCGAAATGGCAATGGGAAAAATCCTTACCCGTCTGATTCCTGATGACCCCCTGATTCCTTTGTTGAACAGGGATGCACAACCAACTGCGGTTGTTGCAACTCGAAATTCCCCCGCTCTCAGCAACATAGTAGTGCCGACCAGGCCAAGGGGAAGTGGGAAGTTGAATATCGATCCCAGCTCGTCCAAACATAGTGAAGAACTGATGAGAAAGAACGCAGATCTTGAAAGACAGCTGCGGGACGTACAAAAGTCTATTGACGAGCTGAAAAGTCCCAGATCGCATCAACAGACTTTGGATTTGGACAGTGCACCACTAAATTTATCCATTACGGCAGAGCCGTATCAAGAGGGATTCAAAATTCCCCACCTGGAGACATATGATGGCACGGGCGACCCTGATGAACATCTGCACACCTATCAAGCCATCATGAGAATCCAAAACGCTAATGACGCCATGATGTGCAAAGTGTTCCCAGCAACACTCAAGTCAACAGCCAGGAGATGGTATCACAAACTCCCCAGACATTCAATAGATTCGTTTTCCCAGCTCGCCAAGCTGTTTTCTAACAAATTTGCGAGCCAAAAGGAGATCAAGCGCACAGCAACTGAGCTGATGCAAGTTAACCAGAAGGAAGAGGAGTCTTTGAGGGACTACATGCAGCGGTTTAACAAAGCCACCTTGGACATTGATAATGTCCCAGACACGATTTGCCTGTCCGCCCTGTTGCATGGGTTGAAGCGTGGCCGGTTCCTAGA